GAGCCTAAAGAAGCTAGCTATGCTGACAGCGTTCCTAATGCCGGGCTAAACGTAGAGTACGCAGCTGTTAACAAGAGTATGAAAAAGAGAAACAGAAGTGTTAATGAAACTGCAAACTCCAAAGAGCCTAAAGAAGCTAGCTATGCTGACAGCGTTCCTACTGCCGGGGCAAATGTAGAGTACGCAGCTGCTAACAAGAGTATGAAAAAGAGAAACAGGAGTGTTAAAGAAACTACACAGCAAAGTAAGCCTACAGAAGTCATCTGTCCTTCTGTTGATGTGCAATACTGCCAAGAAGGTCCTCTAGTGCAAGAACAAAGAGGATCTTGCAGGAAGAAAGATAAAGAGCAAACCACTCTTGCTGAGGTCGTTTCTACTGCTGGAACACAAGTAGAGTATACAGCAGTCGACAAAAGTAAGAAAAGGAATAGGAGTGCTAAGAATGCTGCAAATCCCATCAATCCTGTAGAAGCAAGTTATGCATCTGCTGCTGTCAAATACTGTCAAGATGGTGATCCAGTACCAGCACAGAGAAGATCACGCAGAAAGAAAGATAACGAGCAACACACTCAGAATGACAGTGTGTCTAATGCGGCGGTGAAAGTAGATTGCGCAGTAGTGGACAAGACTAAGAAGAAAAATAGAAGTGTTAAAGAAACTGCACAGCCCAGCGAGAATACAGAAGCCAGCTATGCTTGCGTCGATGTTATTTACGATAACTTCTGAGTGTTCTGCCAGTTTCTGATCAGTTAAAAAGGGTACGGTGCCGTGTGGTAAGAAGGACCATAGCAAAATACCGCACGCTTCTTCATCAGTGTTGCGACTTTGCGGCTAATCCTACTAATGTAGAGATTGAAAAGAAAAAGAAGAACAAGTGGTCATACATGAAAAACAAAAGAAAAAATATATGTTAATTGTATGCATTTCATAAAAGAAAATTTGTCGAATGATACTAAAAAATGTCACAGAAAATGGAGGAAATTGATCACGTGACCTGTTTTTAGAGAAATCGGATAAATTTTGATTTCTAAATTTTGTAAATACCTAAAACTCTTATTCTTATATCGTTTTGATAACTGACTACCAGTGATATAACCTTCGTAACTTTGCAAAGACAATTGGATATATAATTGCTCCTCAGGTTGTTGAGAAAGACGTTGGGGGTGGGGGTAAGCAGAGGTTTAAGAATTAGGCTACTGAAAAACATGCTTGAACAAAATTAGCTACAGTATTGGGAATATTGATTTAGTCTTTAGCATGCTAGGGTATTTCCCTCAGACATCTGGATTGGCTGTGCTTTGTTACTGAGAAAAGGATTTTGTTCAGACGCGATTTCAAGTGACCTCAGGCGGAAACCACGTTRCTGTCAATCTCTACTGGTTACAGACGTCGAGAGAAATTCTTTCTTGGAAAGGTGTATCACTATAAATAGCTCAATGTGTATGTACATATTTGATCACGTTAGGTGACAATATCAGGAAGAGGAGAGCAGTAGTGGGGAACAGGAATAGACAGGTTCCCAGAATGTAAACATCTTTGTAACCATCTTTTCTAGGTCTTGTCTTTTTTTAAATGTGGGTAAAATAAATCTTTGATGACAAGAATAGCTGTCATGTCTCATGATATAGGATATGATCACTATGAGATCATTGGTAATATTTGTCTATTCTTGTTAGTAGCCTGTACACCATCACATGTCATCCCGAGGGGGAATAGATATTTAACACAGCCTCCACGGGGGAGGGGGAATAGATATTTAACACAGCCTCCACGGGGGAAGGGGGAAGAGATATTTAACACCGACTCCACAATGTTTTATCAACTAACCTAAAGAAAAATAAAAACAACATTGACACGACACTAGCAACATGTTACAAGAATAAACGGACAAGTACTATGGCTGTACCCGATTAGTCTAAGCGTAAAAGAGCACTATAACTTACAAAGCAATCTGGGATATCCTCCACCCTCCCCACCCCCAGTAAAAGGGGGTGGGGGACTGAGTAAGGTATTTAATGTCAGAATGTTTGAAGACATGATTATTGCATGACTAGACAATGAAAGTGATACTTTGTAAAGAGGATTGTCAGATCATCTCGCACCAACAACTGGGGACTCATACCCGCTTCAGCAGGGGCACGGTCCGAACCGTGTCTAGAATCTTAATTCATGCTTCTACTCCAATAAACACGCTAACTGTCAGACTGTCATCTTGGACAGAAGAGGAACGCCTCTCTTTTTTGACAAACATCTGCTGATTTGTGCTAAAACCATCATTACTTGGCTACCACACCAGGGCGTGAAGCTGCGATCAAATGAAATATGAAAGAAAAAATGGAAAAAATGCGACCGCCTTGTCGAAAAGTTAATATATGTTTTGAGAGTGACGTACTTCCGTAAGAATAGTGTCTTTAGATTGGTAAACACTGATTCTATAAAGGTTATAAGCCAACCTATCTAAACCTATGCTTAGTCTGTTTGGTCGCCGATATCAGTATTAGGGTTAAATAATCATATTCACTTGAACATATTTGAAAAAATATAATAAAATCTTCATCCGTGAGTAAGACTGCAACACGCGCAGCAAGAGTTTGGACCGACGTATCCATTTCTAAAAACTTATTAGTTGTACGGCCAACGCTAAAAAACCACATAACGATGGCCGGTGCTTCAACAGATGTTGCCATCTTACAAACTTCCTGCTATTAAATTAAAGATAATGAGAAATAAAGATAAAAAAATAAGATGGAAATCCACCAAGATGATGTGATCCAATAAAAGCGACGCGTCTTGATTTGACTCGGGTCCCGGTATTGTCATTGATAGTCTGAATTCGTCGGCTTTGAAAGGCTATACTTGATCGCATGCTGACAACAAATAAAGTATTCATAGCTCTATCGAGTGCTTATATTTCGGTACTGAAGTAAAAAGTCTAACTCTACATGTTTAGCTAAGTGGTTTACAAAGTATTTGAAGTGAAGAAGGCATCTTTTTACAATATGTTATGTTATCCTATGCCGACAGATATTAAGTAAGGGATTATTATCAATAAACATCATCGCCATCATTTAGTGTGTGTGCGTCATCTTCGTTAAAGACCGATCTTACGCGCGCCATGATCCATTATCCTCTTACAAGAGACTATGGTCTCTTGCCTCTTTAATATGATTCGTTCTGTTTGTTTTTGTTCACTATTTGTTGGGAATACATTGTAATGTCATCACAGGAAAGACCAGAGTTAAAAGAGTGCCAAAAATAGCAAGGTAAGGAGCTGAAGTAATGTCTTTAATATCTTTCATATTGATTAAACAACAGAAAATAATTATACCAGGCGATATTCATAGATATTGCCCGGTTTATGTACATAAGTGCTCACATCATCAGATTATACAACCACATATTATGAATCATACTCTCTGGAAATCCTAAAAAAAAACCTAACCTTACAGGAAATTCGTAATTCAAAATTACTGAGCTAATAAAAATGAGAAGATTTTCCCATATTTCTTTCCGTCCATATCTTTTGGTCTTTCTTCTATAACGATCTATACGCGTTGCATTAGGTTTTTCATCGTCCATCAAACTAGGAAGACATTAATTTTCCTAACCGAGGTGCTGAAAAAGGTCAGAACATTGTGGCTAGTTGTGATGCATCGTGGGGGAGCTTCCTAGTTGTGTAGTTGATTTATTCTCTACTGTAATCCATAGTTACTGTAATCCATTTGGCTCACTGTTTTTCTCAGTCTTCTTTTCCAGACACTTATAGACTTCTAATAAAATAAGCTTTGGGACAAACGGAAGTGGGTGACACGAGGCACTTCCGTTTCAAGCCGCACCCGATGACTTCATACTCGATCCTGATTGGTCCACAGGGAAATGCTCATTTTGAGTCACGTGTCCAAATATAGAACACATCTTTAGACGCAAATCATGCATTAGACCGGTCAGGACCAACAAATATTTTTGAAAAAGGGGATTTTTATTTACCTCCTAGATTGATTTTCTTATTCCAGAATGGCGCCCCTGAGGAGGACTTGCTCGTTTATTCTTGCATTTGCAGTAATATCGGCGAACTTGGCTGGTAAGTGTTGAGATTATCCCATCTGTATATGTACCATGAATCATTCAAACAAGAACTTCAAACCCAAAGAGCGCTGTTTTGTTGCATGTTGTTCCATAGATCACTTAAAAGGAATGCCTAATAAATAAAAATAACATCTGTGGTTCATATTTATATAGAATCGAGAAGTCATCGAGCTTCATTCTTCGTCATTCGGCTCGTTTTCAATGAAATAGTTATCAATTTGATTCGGAGAACGATTTCTGTCACAACATGTAATGTATTGTATTCCATTGGTGTGTATACTCTAGATTATAACTTGATTCTAATGCTTCTATTATACTTGATTTCGGAGTCTCACGCAATTTTAAATCTTGCAGGAAAATCTCGATTATAAATAATCCTAGAATTGCTTCTTCTTGCGCTTGAAAAATAGAGCCATATTTATTTAGCCCTTGTGTTGTTGTACCATACATTAAAAAACTCCCAGTTCTTAAATTCAGCATCGATTCCTCTTTCTATTATATTTCTGTGTTGTCAATTGAAGGTTTCGTTTGTTAGACACACTATAAGAATCCAAATTTACTCCCGGAGTTCTCGATTAATCCACCTTGGAATATTTGTACAGAGTATTGGAAGCAAACCCCTGACATAAACTATTTACAATGACGAAACATCTTTCATTCGCTGATAATTTAAGCTTAACTCTCACGTTTCGTTCATTTCGATCTTCCTCTAATCATCATGTTATTATTTAGTGTAATACTTTGTGTATTTAGCTAGAGTAACATACGTACAGTATTCAAGAAAGGATGTTTTTAGATTTATACAGTATATATTCATGCACTACTGCATATTTTTAAAGCTTGCAAGCTGCTTTTGATAAGGATTCATCTCATTAGATCGAAGTTGTGGGCTAGCTAGCTAGTTTGATTACAAGATTACTTATATATTAGGTACAAAGTTTATTGAGAAATTCGATTTACCCCATGTAAATATATTTGTACTATCAAAATGACAACATTAAAGAATTGATGAACATCTCTACAAGATGGAATCCTGCTGTTTTATTAGCTTTATGTCTCAATAAAATAAATAATAATTGAATAGAAATACTTAAGGCTCCTCTAATGGTTTTATAAAGATTGTATGGCTTCAGGGAATGCTAGTGTTGGTACGTATATAACCTACCTACAAAACTAAGGATAGCTGTTTGAGAACAAATGCAAATGGTCTCCATTGACTAAATCCTGTTAAAACTATTAGTCATGATGGTCAATTCTGTAGGTACCAGCATATCATGTACCCAAAATCTGTCATTTGTGTTTACTTTCAAAGGGCATGTCCCAAGATCTTTGCCTGACATTTCTGTCGCAGTCTTGATATTATTATGAATACATCTACTAAAAACATTACTTAATACCTGGCATGGCATTTCTAGTTTTTTTTAAGCAAATGTAACTAACCTTATGAAACAAAAAAAGGGTACTGGAATTTTTTTGTCATTGGAAGCAACAATATGTCAAGTTATTTACATGTAGTTTGATTTTATGATAGTCAGGTTGGCTAATTTACCACAATACACATTCAAAGAGAATGTACAGTTGCTATCATATGTTTTATTATCAAATAAGTCATCTATAGAGCCATCAAGGGTCTGTTAAATCATTTACCATGTGTAATTTCCAACCAAATTGTTATTGAGTAAAATTCATATATCTTTGATTAAGAATATGCAAGACATTTTGTCTTGAAAGTTATAGAAAGATAAGTGATGAAAAGTTATGAAAGCAAATGTATTTACACTTAAGTCTACTTGACTAAATAATGTACAATATGAAAAACAGTTCACGAAAGACAGAAATGGCCTTATTTACTAGTGTCCAGACATATTAGATATATTAGCATTTATAATTATATAGGCTGAACATCTTGTAACACATGATAAAAGTTATTTTATTTGATAACTCTATTAGAAACAGTTTCATATATTAAATATAGAATTGCTTTATATTTTAGAGTTTGCTAGAATATAACATATCAATAAATGTTGTACGAGTATATTTGTAATGAAGATAAATGTACACACTTGAGATAATAAACTAATTTTTGGGTGGAATTTATGAATAAAATTACTTAACTTATACATACAGAAACATGTGCTATACCTTGTGCATTGAAGCTTTGAGGCCACTTATGTGTTATGGTAACTAACATTTTTATATTTTTCATTTCAGCTACTAAGGGCAGCATTTCATCAGGTACAATTAATTCCCTTTTTTTAATTACAAGTAAAAATATTATTGTTAATTAAAAGAAAGCCATTACAACAAGTGGCTTTTTAACCTTAAAAGTAATTTAATTGAAGTGCATGCAAACAACTAATGCATGAATATTAGTGAGTTATCTCAAATGAAATGGGAAACGAAACTATTGATGTAATTATTCCTCCTAGGTAAATCTTCTCTCATCTTTTCAATTCTCATTCTTTCAGTATGTCCAATAGTGAAAGACCTTGGAATGCAAAGCAGAGGTATTCCAGAACAAGCTATAACTGAATCAAGTGTGTTACAAGGCAGCCCTCAGTATGAGGGACATCAAGCTCGGCTTCATAACAATGGAGCATGGATTGCAGCAAATAACAATGGATCTCAGTGGATACAAGTTAAATTTGCACACAGAAAAGCAATAACCATGATATCCACTCAAGGGTATAATGGCTTCATAAAGGAGTTTTTTCTGTTATATAGTGATGATGGCCTTCAGTGGAATAAGTATAACGATAGCCAAGGAATTGATAAGGTCAGTGATATATATATTTGTTTAAGGAATATAAAATGTATGTGTTTGTCTGTACTGTGATATAAACATGCTGGGAGCTGTAGAGCACAAGAGAAGCAAGCTTAGAAACATGAGGTGTTTCTGTTGCTTTTTGAGTGCTCTACAGATCCCAGTGTGTTTGTGTCATAGTACAGAAACATAAGCAGCTATTTCATAGGGCTTTTATAAAATATTTTTGAACAATTTTGTGTGATTGCCTCTTTCCTCTGATATGAACATGGTAGCCAGCTAATCAGCTCACACATAATAATCTAAAATATTTTATGATAGGTATAGAAATGCTGTAAATACATGTACAGTATACTATACAATTGGCATGGAGGATTCATTTATACTTTTTCATCTTGTCTGCCCTCACTCTATTAGTCATTTCTATCTTTACCTGCTAACTAGGTGGCTAGCCCACCAAGGTCAATAAGGTTCAAATATTAAGTGAATATGTAGTTATTACATGACTTATCAAGTCAGTCTCTAGACCTTTCCCTTGACCACTTCCAAGATAAGGATCCTTTCAAGTGGAGAAATTGAACCAGTTTTTCATTGATTGGATTTATGTATGTGACAAAGTGTAACAAACCTCCTCAAAGCAATTATTCACATTTTAAAGTCAAGGTCAATTAAGAGCTTATTATCTTCTAAATGGAAAGTGATGGTTGAGTTATGTTAATGTTTCTGGAACATCTTTAGACTTCCATCTTTGCTCAGGCAGGAAGGTTTTGATAATAAACCTTGCTTCCCAATTAATTGGGCAATTTTGAAACTTTGAAAACACTTGTGACATTAATCCATAATTTTTCTTGACCCCATACAATTACTTATTGAAATATTTTACATAGCATACACTGCTTGATTGAGGTTCGACTGGATTAACCACATTCTCCCACTTAAAAAAATTCAGATCTTAATTGACCTAAAAATTATTGTTTTAACGATGTAGGTATTTCAAGGCAATACTGATGTAAAGAGTGTGGTCAATAATACAATCAACCCACCTCTTGAAGGACTTTTTATCAAACTCCAAGCAAAACTATGTGACTCATTATATTGTGCACTACGCATGGAACTATATGGATGTAACTACACTAATCCACTTGTATCATCTGGTATGTACAACTGTCATAAAAATGAGTGAATTGGAATTAAGCTTGTTAGGTTTTGAGGAAGGAGGAAAAGTGGAGAAACCACAGAAAAACCTTTGAATTAAGCAACAGACCTAACAAATAATGGTATTCGTATAGAATTAAAGCCACATACAACAATTATTTGCACTCATGCATTTTGACTGATACTATATTTATGTCTCCATAGCAATATGTCCACCCCTAACAAAGYCTGCTGGGAGTTCAGTTTCATGTACAGCATCAACCTATGTTGGTAGTACATGTACATTTAGATGTGTGGTTGGATATTGGATTGTTGGATCGCTCTTTCTTCAGTGTCAACCCAACAGAACATGGAATGGCACTGTGCCAGCATGCTATGGTAAAGGATAACAACAACAAGAACAACAAAATCTATCACCATTAGCAAATGCTGGTCGTAAAAAGTGTCAAATAAGCTTTTTCCTAGTATGGACTTGATTGCTTCATTAATGCTCTATCGTAAATGCTGTCGAGTGAGATGACAAACATGAAGATGATCAAGACAGTACTTTAGTGTTACAGAATAATATTGTCTAATGATATAATTTTCTTCAAGAAACTGAATTCATCTACAAACAACTTGCTAACCACTTACTGACCTCCTACCAACCTCTTACTAACACCTTATCAACAACTTACAGACACCACATCATCCGCTTGCCAACCTTGCCATACAGTGTGGATTGATCACAATAGCCAATCATGGTGTTGAATAAGTATTTATCATTGTTATTTTTTATTTCAGCCATGCCTAGTGAGCCAAAAAACTTAAAAACAGTGAGTACATTTTCAACAACTATAAACATAGCATGGGAGAAACCAGCAATTAGTGGCAGCTCTGTTATCAACTACTTGGTCTACTGGAAAGCTGACAATGAGCAAAGCTATCAAGAAAAGATAGTCACAAAGTTAACAGCAGCTTTAGTTGTCAAACCGTACACTTTTTATTCCATTAAAGTTAGTGCTCGCAGTGCCCACTTTATGAGTCCTTGGTCGATCATCTTGAGACAGAGGTCTGACGAAGCAGGTTAGTTATAGAATCTTTATCATGTATTATCTGTTTTGTAGCAATAATCCCTTAGCTATGTTTTAGTTTCATTAAATCCTTCTTTTATCCCTATCTGTGCTTGATATAAAGCCATAACAACGTTCCACCACAGTTGGACCTTAGCTCTTGTCTCTTTGACACTGTCTATTAAAAGCCTTTTCTTCATTGTACAATAAATATTTCACAAGTATATCAATTAACAGATCAAAAACAGTTTTCCGTGTTTGATACTCTGATCAAAACACGTGGCATGTTGGGAGAACACGAGAGGAGCGTAGGAAACCACGACGCGTAGCGGAGTGGTTTCCAGCTTCTCGAGTGTTCTCCTAACATCCCAAGTGTTTTGATCAGAGTATCAAACACAGAAAACTGTTTTTGATTTGTTTTATAAGATAACAAACGCGCGAAAAGATCGAAAAAAAGCAAAGTCTAAGTAAATTCTCCCTACGTGCCGTCTTATTCAAACTGACCAATGAGCACGCGCGATAGATTAAAAATGATGATGGCATGTTTTGATACTCTCATCAAACATGGTTTTCGACCAATCATAGCGCGCGTAGTATCCCAATTATTTTATAATATTTTGTCAATAATTTTTAATTTACCAGTTATAATGAAAATCTTTTGCAGCTCCTTCTATGGCACCTTCAAATTTCCAAGTCAAATCTAACAAAGCTCTGACATTGACTGTCACATGGTCAGAGATTCCTGAAGAAGGCCGTAATGGAGTCATTCTTGGTTATAAAATAAACTATTATAAGAACAAGACAAAGTCTGTCCCCACGGAGATCCCTGTAGCCAATGATGTCTTCACATATACCATTAAGAACCTGGAGTATGATGATTACTTTGTCTCTGTCGCTGCTCATACAAGGATTGGATTTGGTCCAAATACAACTATTATCAGAAAAGTTCCCATGGAAGGAGGTTTGTGAAGCAGTTTTGTTATGTCATAAGAAAGCTTTGTAAACGATGCTATTAAAAATACATCTAGGCTGCAATGTCTGATGGAAAGGACAGTGGAACACCTTCTAATGTACAACAACTTTGTTTCATTACAATTGGATTATTTTGTAATGGTACAGGATTGATTGGAATTTAGCTGATTGGAATTTAGGGGTTTTGGGAGAGATCTAACAAACTCTACTCAAATGTGATGTCGAGTTCAGATATCAAAACCTAGAGCCCACAAGTGAGGCGAGTGTACTAACGCTCCTCCACCGTAGACGGTTGCCATTAAAACCGCAGCAATGCAAGAGCTAACTTTTCTTTCCTTGTTCCCTGGAGAAGGATTTAAGATTTATTCTTAGCGCCCCTTCGTTATATAACCCTTGCCTAAGATACTTGTATTACCTAAAAGTCTTCATTAGGTTTTTGCTGCTGTTTTCGTTCACAGCTCCAAGTGAACCTTTAAGGCTGACCTGCACTAGTTTCTCAGACAAGAGTATCCTGTTAATATGGCAAAAACCCTCAACAAGCAATGGCATTATTAGGTACTATCTGATAACGACATTTGAGAAGGTCACTGGTGTCCAGGTTGTCAATAACATGAAGTTCCCCGCAAATATGAATTTGATGAAACTTGTGCCAAATCTGAAGCCATTCAAAGAGTATGTAGTTAAAGTGAAGGGGGTTACTGTAACACCAGGAGAGGCTGCTTCTTGCTCGGCATGGACTAAAGCTGCAGGTACGTTAAATACAGAGGTGTCTTCGGCATGATAAGCCAGGATGATATTGAATGGTGCGGGATGATGATGGATATCAAAGGGAATACACTGTTAATAGCAAACGGTGTAGGAAAATATATATTCACTCATAAGCAGTGCTCACTATTAAACGAAATTATGTTGTGCCCTAAAACAAAGCGACCACGTGACATGCTGTATGCATAATCACGTGATGCGTCGCTATTCCATTTGCAGTTCAGTAACTCATTAATATTTATATATATCACAGCACCAGATGGTGTACCGCTAATCTCATCTATCAGCGCACGTGATGCCTATACTATCTTCGTGTCCTGGAGCAAGGTTCCTAAAGATGACTGTAATGGGATCATTCTTGGATATATTGTGTTCTTTAAGCCCCATGGACAGCACGTTCCGTATGAAAATAAAACTATTGACGATGAATCAAGACTTAGCACTGAAATTACCGGATTGAAACCTTTTACTCAAGTGTGTGTCAAAATGGCTGCCTTCACAAAAGTTGGTGTTTCTAAGGATTGGGAAAGTGAAGCATGTCGACTTATCACAACTGATCAGACAGGTAGTGTTCATACATCTGATATTGTACTAAATCAAGCTCGTAAAAATCAATAGTGACTATCTCCTTTTAGAGAAGGTTTGGCTCAACTCTTGTTAGACTAAAAGAAAACCATGGTTGCATGGTTGGGTTGTCCTCAGTAATCACATACACTTGTATTATCATCTTTGACATACAGCAAAACAGCGAAAAAGAAGGAAAGATTATTACAGCATGCACCATCAGTGTACCTCTGAATACTCTTCTTCTACTCCTTGTCCATTGAGCTAAATACGTTTTAGTTTTATCCCATTCCCATCATCCTGACTCACTCACCCGGTCAATACTTTTATCTGTTGTAGGCCCAAGTGCTCCTCGGAACATAAACGTGACGGCAACATCATCTACCTCCATCCTCGTGCAGTGGGAAGCCCCAGTCACTCCCAATGGCATCATCTCATACTACTTTATCTTCTTGGGAACCTATAAGGACAATCTCGCAGAGCACGGACAAGTGACGGGGAAAATAATGAGCAAAGAAATTACTGGGTTATCAAAATACACCACGTATTATGTGCAGGTCCGAGGGAAAACCAATAAGAATGGAAATGCATCTGAGATCGTTAAAGTCACCACGTTAGAAGATGGTAAGACAGTCAGATAGTTTTAGAATGGTTTCAAGTGGCATCTTCAGGCAAATGTGTATACAATAAAATACGAGTAACAAGTTCCTTGATCTCACTAGATAGCTCTTAACTTCATATGATAATTAGCTTATAGATAATTAGGTCCTGCATGAAAAAAAACCACACTTTTTGAAGTAACGTCCTTGCTAATTAAATTTTTTTATCGTTAAAAAAACTGATGTTCAAGAACTCTTACTTCCCTTGTCTCCTGGAGAACGATACAATACTTCTTTCTAGCACCAAGGGTCACCCTTGTCACGTAACCCTTGCCTAAGAGACCGGTTGCATTACGTAAAAGTCTTACGTAAAATACTTTATTGGGTTTTAATTACTGCTGTTTTCGTTCACAGCTCCAAGTGAACCTTTAAGGCTGACCTGCACTAGTTTCTCAGACAAGAGTATCCTGTTAATATGGCAAAAACCCTCAACAAGCAATGGCATTATTAGGTACTATCTGATARCGACATTTGAGAAGGTCACTGGTGTCCAGGTTGGCAAGCCTGTCGACATGAAGTTCCCCGCAAATATAGATTTGATGAAACTCGTGTCAGATCTGAAGCCTTTCAGAGAGTATGTAGTTAATGTACAGGCGGTTACTGTAACACCAGGAGATACTGCTTCTTGCTCGGTATGGACTAAAGCTGGAGGTACGTTAAATACAGAAGTCTCTTCGGGATGATACGAGATGATATTGGATGGTGCGGGATGATGCGGAATGATGTTGGATGGTGCGGGGTGATACGGGATGATATTGGATGGTGCGGGATGATGCGGAATGATAAAGGCTTATAAAGGATGATATTGGATGGTGCGGGATGATATGGGATGATGTTGAATGGTGCAGGATGATGCGGAATGATGTTGGATGGTGCGGGATGATACGGGATTTTGGATGGTGCGGGGTGATACGGGATGATGCGGGGTGGTATTGGGTGATACGGGATGATGCGGAGTGGTGTTGGGTGGTGCGGTATGATGCGGAATGATGTTGGATGGTGCGGGATGATGCGGAATGATGTTGGATGGTGCGGGATGATGCGGAATGATGTTGGATGGTGCGGGATGATACGGGATGACTTAACAACAAACGATTTAGGAAAATCTAAAGGTCAACAATTTACACGGTACGATTTACCTCACAATCACGCGCAACATGTTGTCAACACGAATTACTTCATGTAAATCAACCGTACATCCGTTGCTTACGACTGTAAACAGTAGCCAAAACTTGGCGTTGCCAGCATGTTGCATGCGAGAATTGTGAGGAAAAATCATAGAGTGTTGAGACTTTCCCAATAAAGTTGCAATAGAGAACATCAGGTTAATTGCGAGTCTGAAATGGTTTTTTCTCTGCATCGTTTTCAGCCCCAAGTGAACCTTTAAACGTACAGGCAGTGCTGACAGGAATGTCAGTCAACATCAAATGGAATCCTCCCTTGGAGAAAAATGGCTATTTGAAAATGTATAAGGTAGGTTCACTTGCACTTGATTTTATATTATAAAGTTATTGATTTAAATATATATTATAAAATTGTTAATTTATATTTATGAATTTAATACCATATGGTTGCTATGGAAATACTGCAGTTCAAACCAAGTGCTGGTCTTCCAATATATTAATAAAACACTTTCATTAATCCAAAGGTGTACTGTATCGGAAGACGTTCGTATGATCCAAGGTTCGAAAACAAGACTAAAGTAGAGACTGAGGTGGACAAACGTGAAGTCATCATCAGGAATCTGCTCCCTGGCACGGAGTATGAAGTGTATGTTGTAGCCAAGACGTACGAGAAGGATGGAAAGAAGAGTGAATCAGTCACTGTACAAACTCCTCCAGAAGGTATTTTAGGGTAGGACATGGGTTCAAAATAGGGCGATCCGGCATATGGGGGATAGAATTCTACAATATTTGCTCCTAGCGAAACAGTTTAATCTAAAATGGACTGGTTTTCAGATATAATATGCGTTAATATGTACTAAAAAATATTCTGAGCGTTTGCTGGCTATTCTACTTCTCTTCGTGGATTGATACGGGTTTTAGAACAATTTTCGGTGAATTTGCGTTGATTTGACCTCCTTCGACGACCATGATCCTTTGCGTTTAAACAGTAGATTGTTTTGATGTGACGTCATAGTGAAATAGAGCAATTTGTATCCTTTTACTGAAAGTTCTATAAATGTCGGTTTGTATAAAGGAAGTAATGCACAAGGGTAGGGTTGGGAGGAGTGTGAATCCTTGAAGCAGATGTGTTAGCTAACCCTCTAACTGTTATTATGTGTCACGCATACCACTGGTTCATATTTCATTGTTTTATGTTTAGCACCTCCAGCACCAGAACAACCTGAAGTATCACAGGAAAGCGTAAGACATAACTCTATCACACTCTTACTCAAGTCATCGCCGCAAAAGAATGGAGAAGTAATGTAAGTATAGGGCTATAAACCTCATATAATGATGAATGGACATGCCCGTCATGTGCTGTTAACCAGGAATGATTCTAGTGCTTGTTATAAAAAACATGATTGGCCTGTAATGATATTTGAACACTGCCTTAAAATGATACCAATTACCCAGTAAGAGATAATATTTGTATCATCTTCAGAGCCCATCAAGTGATAGTGGAAGCATTGGGCAAGAAAGCTAAACGAAGCGTCGATCCCTTACCGTCTGAGATCAATGACTACAAGACAGCCAAGGAACGAGGTTCATGGTTTTATTTAGCAGCGGAATTTCGAGGTTTAGAGGTACCTCAGTCATTTGTACTTGGCGATGGAAAATATTACGAAAACTACTACAATGCACCGTTAGAACCTAAAACCAGATACAGGGTTTACGTTCGAGGGGTAACCAAGGACCAATATGGGGTAAGTGAAGAACTCGATAAGACGCACGCCGAAGTGACAAAGAATCGGATGTTATATATGGATGTCTCTTATACGCAGCTTTACAACGCATCCATAACTGGACTTGACCCATTTCTCAGTTTTAGATCATCATTCCACTAATGGTAACTTGCTTACTTCCAGAAATGGGTTTATGGTGCTCCTGCTGCAACAACTCTTCCAGCAACAGGTAAAACATATATTCTACTCCACTTTCTCAGTCCTCGCTACTACCTCTCGCCTCTCACTGATATCAACTCCCGCTATCTGGAGTGCTTTCAAAGACAATACAGGTTGTTTTAAATTACATTTATTATCTTTTTCTTGCAGCCGAAATGAAAACCCTTGATAAGGGAAATGACGTTGGGTTGATTGCAGGAATTATTGGTGCCATTATCCTGATTGCCATCATCGCTATTGCTATTTTACTCTACAGAAGGTGCAAGTCTCTACTTTTTATCTAACCATGCAGTCATGAATATTGCTTTTCTTCCAAGCTTTTTCTTCATGGAAACTTCCTATTTCGTTAACCAGAGGTATTTTGAATATTATAGATCCAAACGACCTTTAAAAGCTAACGTGGATGTTGAGAACCACAAGTCAAAATCCAGACGAAGATTCAAGGACCTGGAGCTCATGAGAATAGGTGCGTTGAGAGTCATACAAGCGAGGCTAGTGAGTCAATACAACGTACAACTGTCCGACACTGATGGCAACAATAATATTTGTCATTAATTAGTTCACCTTGCTCAAGATTGTTTTGTATCTACTTTTTTTTCCAGGAGGAAAGAAGCGACCATTGTCAATTCCTGGTGAGGTAGTGAACGATCCAGAACACCCTTCAGTACCAATGGAAAACTTTTCCAAACATGTCCATAAGCTGCACAAGTCGGATGACCGAGGATTTATGATCGAGTATAATGTATGTCTATCCTCTTTCATGTGTCATTATTACATCAGATATGAGATTGGATATGTTTGAAGGAAAAAAACCCTGGCATAGAAATCATCATCATCGTCCCCATCATTATCATCATCATCATGTAAGATCATCATCACCACCATGTAAATTCATTATTATTGTCATCATCATCGTCCCCATCATTATCATCATCATCATATAAGATCATCACCACCATGTAAATTCATTATTATTGTCATCATCATGTAAGATCATCATCACCGCCATGTAAATTCATTATTATTGTCATCATCATCGTCCCCATCATTATCATCATTATCATGTAAGATCATCATAACCTTTGTTATCATCGTCATCACCTTCCTTACATCATTATCAACACCTTCATCAACATCATCATTATCACCTTTCCACATTGTTATATTCAGAAACTTGATGCAGGGCGGGAGTATCCATGTGAAGCTGCGTACTTATCAGACAACAAGAACAAAAACAGATATGGAAATATCGTAGCATGTAAGTACTGATTGAGTACTGGATGTCCTATATGCATCTGAGGGCGAAGGGGAACTGAGGTGGGGTGAATCGAGGATGGGTATTCCTTCACCAAACATCACTTCCTGCTGACTTCACAAGTTTTCATTAGAACTCTTTCTGGCTGGCAACTAGTGGTGGTCAGTGTTCAACCACTATTTTAGGAGCAGATAATGAAATTCAGAAACGTTTATCGGCTGATTGAAACCCAGCAATTAGTTGGTAGGACCCATTTTGAGAGTTTTTATTGATTTTGAACAGATGATCATTCCAGAGTCGTTCTTTCTGTCCTGGATGGCAAACAATGTACAGATTACATCAATGCATCTCATATCGATGTAAGTAGTAATAACATCCTCTTACACATCACATTATTTGAATCAATCTAATCCACAATCTCATTGCCTTGCATCTGGCGTGACTAGAACCTTGGAGACGAGGACTATTCAAAAGGGAGATCTTCAGTCCTTTCTCTAAAGTCCCCCGCCCACGCTTGGTCCCATTTAACACGTTACTGGAGTAGATTACTGACGTTTACCTTTTCTTTTAGGGCTATAACAAACCTAGTGCTTATATCGCTACACAAGGTAAGTAAGTGAACCTGATTGATACGGCACGTGCAATCCATTCCGCTCACCAAGTGCAAATGGAAACTGGAAAAATTTGCGCGCTCCAAATCATAGACAAGATGATTTCGAATCGAACGATTTTTCCAATGAGGTGTTTCCAGTACACGGTATTCGTCAAGCAGTCGAACAATAGTCACTCATTAAAGGCTAAGAAAACTAAGGATTGGAGTCGCCTAACGAGTTTCTGTGTTATCTATTGACAGGTCCCGTACCACACACTTTCGATGACTTCTGGCGAATGGTCTGGGAACAGCAGTCTGCCACGATAGTCATGCTAACAAACTTGCAAGAAAGACACAAGGTACGAAATAAATAGATATACAGTAGAACCTCTATTAACCGGCCAACCTCCAAGGTACGAAATAAATAGATATACAGTAGAACCTCTATTANATAGATATACAGTAGAACCTCTATTAACCGGCCAACCTCCAAGGTACGAAATAAATAGATATACAGTAGAACCTCTATTAACCGGCCAACCTCCATTGAGCGACCACTTGTCAAAGAGACTGATTATCATCGGTAACCACTGTGACCAGTTACAATAGTAGTTCAAGCTTATCAAGTTTTCTCCCTGTTTTTCTAGTTGAAATGCCACAAGTACTGGCCTGATAAAACTGAAGAATATGGTGATATATCTGTCAAACTTCTCAAGTGTGAACACTACGCTGATTACAGCATTCGTACTTTCAACGTAAAAAGGGTGAGCTGAGATGTTGTTCTTGAAATATGTTTTTAAAAATATAGCGAAAAATGCGAAAGGTGAGCAATACTCTGTTTGGACGTTGCGTCATTGCCGCCATGTTGGTAGTATTTAACAAAAGATTCCTCATTCGCTTCCTATGTTAATACCCCCAACATGGACGCCATGTCTTTTACTTTGCTATCAATCAATACCAAGTTCTTGAAAATGGAACTGATTTCGGAGCTAGTGGCATATCTTCTTTAATGTGGACCAATTGTGTTATTTTTGGAAGATAACATTAGTAGAGTTGATTGTATATCACTTCTTGTCTTTTATCATCCAGGAAATCGAGAAAGAAGAACGCGAAATCCGTCAGTTCCACTTCATAGTATGGCCAGATCATGGCGTACCTGAATATCCTACAGCCATCTTGGCTTTCCGTAGAAGAGTACGTGCATACAATCCACCCGATGCTGGACCTATTATTGTACACTGCAGGTAACCATGGAAACCAGCTTTATTTGGTTGAACTAGTTGTCGTGTGCCAAAACTAGTGACGTCTAGCTTCTTTCGCCAGCGCTTTTCAACAGCACGTGCAGAATCGTACCACTTGCTATCGCGACAAAAAAGGATTTCGGAGGACGTCAATCAAACTGTTTCCAGGACATGGAAACGCCTTGCTTGACGTCCTCCGAAACCTACTGTACATCGTCGCGATTGACGAGGATTCCGTGTATAATGATGAAAACCACTGTATACGCTAGTGAAATGCACCCAAGCAAATATAACACGACAAAGTATCGTTTTATGACGCAGATGCTGGATTTACTCTTTTTCTTTCAGTGCTGGTGTGGGTCGTTCAGGGACATTCATAGTTATCGATGCTATGCTTGATCGAATCAAGGCAGAGAAAACAGTGGATATATTTAACTATGTAGCTTACTTAAGATCAAGGCGAACAGCCATGGTGCAGACAGAGGTAAGACTGTGACGAATATCATTACAGACCAGGAAACCGCTAAAGGGGGTCCAAAATGGACTGAGCTCACGGGCACAAAGACTCGGGGGTAGTGCCTGCCTGTAAGGTTCTTTAGATGAAATCCCTAACTAAAGGGTGGATGGCTTCAGTCCCCTGCTGGGTGTATATTGGAGTGATGATGATAAGAAGATTAGTTAAGACGAAGAGAGAAATTCCCTATTAATGTCCAATTATTGATATCATGATCTTTCAGGAGCAATACACGTTTTGTCATGATGCTATTCTAGAGTCTATTCAATGTGGTAACACACAGATCCTTGCACATGACCTGAGAATAGCTCTCAGCAAGATGGATCATGTTGATAAGGATCTTAAACTGACGCGATTTGAGACGGAATTTAAGGTAAAGCTTCTTATGAGATCGTACTTGTTGTACTTTCAAGAATGTTGTCTAATAAAAGCCTTGTATATATTTAGACGTTGAACAAAGTCAGCCCTGTGCTGCCCAAGGCGTGCTATATCGTCGCGTCCTATCCAGAGAACAAGGAGAAGAACAGATACCATGATATTTTAGCCTGTAAGTTGCCTCATCTTTTACCACCCTTTGTAATGTCTTTGGAATGCAGCAAGTAACGTAGATTGTTTTACCAGTGCTTGTTCTTCTCCTTTCAGCGGATTTCTCACGGGTGATGTTAACCGCGATAGATGATAACGAGATCACTACGTACATCAACGCTGTCCACATATCGGTCAGTAAACTAAGTACCTTTATTAGTCCACATCCCTTTTCGCTGCCAAACAGTTCTACTTTTTTACGATATTCTAAGCCATTGCTGCGCGACTGACAGACAAATAAAAGGAAGAGCGAGCCCCAAACCACACGGAACATGATTGGATTAAAAAACCAATAGATTGGTCATAGAAACAATAGCACTAAACCTAACCTTACAAAAGCGGTACTATACTTAGGGAGCAATGAAAATCCAGCTTTCGAGTGGTACTGGATTACTCGAAAGGAATTCTACGAGGCTGGAGCTCTGAATGTACTGACCTAGCTTAAAACATTAAACCTTCGAGGACCTTGGATTATATAATCAGTTTATTTTCATCCACCCCTTGGCAGAGTGATTACTCATTCCTTGGTGATATTTTACGTTACTTTTTGATCATAGTGATTGATGCAGGGTACTGACATTCAAACTTGTTTTACCACGCAGGGTTACAAGCAGCAACACGCATTCATTGTAACGCAATACCCCCTGACTCCTACAGTCACTGATTTCTGGCGCATGTTATGTGAACAAGAGTCAGCGTGTCTGGTAGTCTTCCAACCGACAGAAGAAGGGGTTAGTTATAACACCGATATTCAACAACTAAATAGTGGGATATCATTTTTATGAACTTATGTTGTTATCATACACTATCATAGGACTTCCCTCAGTTCTGGCCTGAAGAAGGAAAAGTTACCTATGATGATATGATTACAGTAGAATGTCACGCTGAAAAATCTAACAGTGTAGACAATCTCAAGTCCACCTATGATCAGACAGAAATCACTGAACTGAAGTTTAAACTCAAGGATCTTAGAGTAAGTAAACTCTCGTCAGACATCCTTGTAAATCGTTTGCAGACATATCAAGGCTACGAAACAGTCATTAGGTGAAACTTTCGTTTGCAACGCTTCTGGCGATAGACTAAACGTACAGCTTTTTCTACACCCTATTAAGTCTTACATCGCAGAATTCCGCGCATTATTTACATGGGAAGAAAAACGGTAAAAATGATTTGTTGTGCACAACGTTGTGCGCAAAAGTTTCTTCGTGTACCCCTTCTAAGTTTAATATTTTATTTTTAGACTCCAGAGAAAGAAATCATCGTGAAGATGTTTGTTCTCCATGGATGGGCCAATGATGATGATACAGTTGACACGTCATCTATGATCACCCTGGTTGCTAAGGTGGAGAAATGGCAACAACAGTCAGGCAATGGACCAATCACAGTCATGTGCAGGTAACCTAGACTTCATGAACAACCCTTGCGCGCATGCCTCTGTCTGTCTGTCAAGATCAGACATTTTTAATCTAAATGAACATCAGTCTCTTTTTTGTTCATTCTCGATGACACATAACCCCCCCCCCCCCCCAACGGCATGTTGACAAGGAAAGATTTCATTTCTTTCATTGTGTACGAGTAAAGTTAATTAAAGCCATTTTGCTTATTAATTTTTTAGCGATGGTATTGGTCGAAGTGGAACATTCTGTGCTCTCTACTCAGTACTGGAACGTGTGAAGATAGAACAAGTAGTAGATGTTTTACAAGCCATCAAAGCCATGAGAATACCAAGACCTGGTCTAGTCAAAACTAATGTAAGAACCTTTACCATGCCTTTCTTCACTTCTCGTTTCACCTTGATTGTGTCCTTCATTGAGGATAAAGATAACTTACCATTTTTCTACATTCTTTTCCAGGCTCAGTACAAGTCTATTTATTACACGGTTCAAGAATATTTGGCAGCTTTTGATGACTATGCTAACTTCAAGTAAAGAATTAGACATTTCTGGAAAATTTTACCATATATGGAGTCATGACGTGTATCGAATTCCTTATTTGGTAATTTTGTATCATTGCCTTATATGGTATGACTGTTGCTCCTTATATGGTAATGTTAAAGCCTACAACTCCTTATATGGTAGTATTACCTAATATGGAGATGATTAAGAAAGCTGAACAATCATAAGATGATCGTTACTAGCAAAAAATACCAAACAGATAGGAAATTTATTGTAATATTAATAATAATATGCTTACACTTCCCCGTTTCGCTTTAAGATGAAAGTGGTGAAAAGTGATGAGAACTTTAAATATCGATATATTAATAATACCTAACAAATAGACGTTTAGTGTTATTTCATACTCATTTTTACTAAATATTTACGTGTTGTTTGAACGTAAAAATATCAATAATCATTTTTATGGTGGACCACTCATTTTTAAAGCCACCCTCTTGTTTTTGGTAAATGCTTTTTGAAAATTATTGTCATTTTAAAGACATTCCTCTGAGCTTGCGTATAACTTGTTAAATGAGTGGTTAAAATAATCTTGAGTTGCATACATTAAGATATAAAGAGTTTTGTCTGATAGCTGCCCTTTTTAATTTTTTTATTTCATTGATCGTTTATTTTTCAATTTTTAAGTCTTTTTTATGCATGTGCAAGAGGTCAGACCTGATTGGCTATCACATTCTTGCTTCTAATTGGTTCTTTGAGTCTTTATTTTTCTATTGCAACATGTTTTACATTAAGAAGGGCTTCAGTAAAAGATTTCGTGAGTATTACTGTATTATATTTCATAAACCTCATTAGCATGCGCCAAAACGTACTCTTTTCGGCGTTGATTGTTTTTTAACACAATTTGTGGATCTTATTTACATTACTGGATCGTTAATCGTGAAGTATTCCACTTAGAATACTTCAGCTGATTTTGAACAATATAAGGTTTATTATGCATTTAGCTTTAAAAAAATTTTCTTTCTTTTCAGTTTATAGTCGAACAGTAATCGTAATGCTCGAAAATCCTTTAAATGAATTGACATCTTAACATTGATTAATAAAAGCTTGGCCAATCGATGATAGCCAAGCTAAAATACACCTATAGATAGTAAGCCAATGATAAACCAGCTAAAATTTTACTAGCCAATAGAAATTAGCTTGAATTGTATCTATAAATAGACAGCCAATAGTAAATAGGCTTAAATCATATCTATAAATAGCTAGCCAATGGTAAGCTAGCTTATACACCCATAAATAGCTGGCCAATAATAGGACAGTTCATAATACACATATATATAATAAGATATTATTACAATATCATTAGACATTATTTGTTTTTTGAAAACCACAATTTAAGGTTATTGTAGATATATATGAATGATATTTTCTTAATGTAATTAAAATCACCAATAAACGAAATAATAATTGATGGAAGACTCCTGATGTATATGGCAGCCACCTTGGATAACAAACTGTGTCTCTTTATAACCAGGGTTGATTAAAGTAACTCTAAACTCTATCGATCCAAATATTTCTATATTCTTTTTTTTTTTTTGGCCTGTTTTGTCCCGCAACTCCTTGCAATATCTATAGATTTTCCCCATAATTGGCAGAACAGAATAATGACAATCTATTTACCAGGGATCTGAAGTTTCGTGGAAATCAAGCGCACAGGAGGACAATATTGTGTAAAACCACTGTTAGAAAATCGGCCGGTAATGGCATTAATTGCGACTCAAAAAATATGGTTTCGAATACACCGTCAAGAGCCTGAATAGAATAAAGATATGTCAATAATGAAAATTTGAGCTACTACAGTGTGCTGAATCCAGAAATACCGAGCGCTTTAGACGCGATACGAGCGAGTTAAAAATCGCTAAATTCACTCGCAATTATGTTGGAGTCACCTTAAGGGGTAGGTTTGAAAATGTAAAGTGTACCTTCATGAAATGATTCCATGTCTATCGCTCAGGTTGTGATTGGTCATGAATAAAGCACTCGACGCCAGATCGAATTAGATTTTTGTAATGACATAAGTACTCAACATATATCATCTTCTTCAAACCCATATGAAGTAAAGCCTATTTTTTATGACAATGGCCAGTAATTACCGTCATCAATCCTAACAGTGAGCCACTTTCCTCCCACTCGTATGACTACTAATCTTTGATAGTACAAATATTATTCGCTTTTAATCTTATAAACCGACTATTGTCATTTTTGTTGAACCAAATATACCTGTTTGATTTGAAACGTTTAGGGTTATTTTGCAGTGAAAAAAACCCCAGGTGAACAAGATGGCGGCCGATCGTCTGATGCCACCTTCTGCCACCAAATCTACGATTTCGCCAAGAAAGGGTTTTGCATGCCTCGTTATTCACTTCTGGCTTCAGTGCTACAGCACAAAGCTTTCCTAAGAGCACTTCTGTATTTAGATAGTCTCCAAGCATAGACAATGGGATCCAGTTATTCACATCTGACT